GCCATGCTCCTCAGAATTTAATTTTTGTGCTTCGCTTAATTGTACGCGTCGTACTTTAAACTTACAAAGCATACAAAGATTTACTTTTTAGCCTAATGACTAAAGATCGAATATTTAGTTACTAAAAACTGAAAAATAGGTAACTAAAAAGGTACTAAAAAAAGCATTTTAGGTTAAATAAAAACAGCATTTTAGGTTAAAAAAACAGCAGTTTAGGTAAAAAAACATTCAAAATTCAAGTTTCATTTATTTTTATAAAATAAGTAACATAAAATATTTTTTTTTATAAACTGACTGTTAATTAAAGCTATAAGGAACTGAAAATATAACAGGGAATACCTGATATTTACCAAATTTACTACTAGAGTAACAAACATATACTGCCCTACTATGTAGAAAGGCAGTAACTGCAAAAAAATGCAAAATGCGTTTTATTGTGCTATGGTAAAGCTATGGACATTTTGTAACCGAATTCAACACAGAAATGCAGTCAAATATCTCATAGGTTAAAAAAATCAATCAAATACCTACTGCTTTTTATAAAAATATAGTTTATGCTAATTTTCCACAAATTTCTTGTTTAGCAGTTACTGCCTTTCTCCATAGTAGGGCAGTATAGCTAAAATGTATATAAATTAAAGAAAGATGTTTTAACATAACCTCAAAGTCCTTAAAATTTTACAGCAAACTCTATCTTATTCTTCATCTCTATCCAACTGCTGAAATTATTTAGAGGATTCTCTTTGGTTTTGGGCATTTTTTATAATTTTGTTTAGCCGCATACCCAAACACAGAACATGGATATATCCACAATAAACTATTTCTATGCAATAAACTGCTTCACTGATTGACACTCACTACACAGAAGTTCTATGACAGAACATAAGCTCACTTTACTGCTATAGTCTGTGACCATAAGAAAAATTTCTATACCGTTGAGTTGCACGCCCTGGATAAAATATTGGCGCAAAATTTAAAAAGAACACAAAAAAATAAAATAAGTAAAAATACGTAAAAATAGGTAACAAATAGGTGAAAATAAACTGACAAATTAAAAAATATGTAACAAAAGTATAAAAAAAGATGAAAACAAGTTAGGTTCATATAAAAGAAAATCTTTTAAAACACATTTTGGCATTATTGGTTTTCAAATAGTTACATCGGTTGAAAAAAGGTAAAATAACTAAAATCCCATCCTTACTAATGACATAAATAACTTTAACAGTTAAGTTATTAATTACCAAAATATATTATTTATACTGTAAATAATAATAATAATAGAAATAACTGAATGTATATCATAAATATAAACCCCCATATACATATATTGCAGTTAAATTCAAGCTTAAATATCAAATTTGATAGAGGATGGCATAAGCTACTGTTAGAACATACATGTGGGGTGGCAAACAATGTAACCCCTCTACTGCGTCGTCTTTAATTTTATTGTTATTGAGCAATACGCTTCCAACTTTAGAAAGTTTAATTGTTTAGAAGATTAAATTTTCATCTGAATGTAATATTAACCATTTCCTTTGCATTTCAAACAAATAAAATGAACCCTTGACTAATGTTCATTAAAATAATTTTGTGTGTATACCAGTGAATAGTTAATTTATCTCATAAACAAGCCACGCAGAACAGCGCAATCACTTGGATTCAAAAGAAATACGAAAGTAAAAAGGTTAAATCAACTTCGTAGATTGAATTTTGTCCTGCAGTAGATGCCAGCATTAGACAGCAATATCTCTTGAGAGATGTGAGTATTAAGTTTTAAAGTTTAGCTTCGTGTCAAAGATAGTTTGGTTCTTTTAGTGAAAAGATTATCAATATTACACTTTTATTTTGAAGGAAACGTGTTACTTTATACGCTCCGCAAAAGTCAGTTTTTGTTATGAAAAATAAAAGATTTATTATACGAGTCTGGGTATTTTTTAGAAGGATACTTATAAGTTAACTTGTGTATATATAAAAAAAGTTTGTTATTTAATTAAAATATATTTTATTTATAATACAAATAGTCTATTTTTATGTCTTGAGAGTACAATTAAAACAGTTTATGTGATTTTAAAAATCATATAATGTCCACCATTATCGCAAACCTGGATAACTCTTACTAGCATTTCTTGCGGTATTCGACAAATTTTTGTACAGATTACCTTATTCAGTTATTTTGGGGTCCAGGCAGTGTTTGAAGACTTCAGCTTTAAAATAACTTTACAGAAAAAGTCGGATGGCATCAAATCCGGCTAGCGAACAGGCAATGGAATATCGCCTCTCAGTACCATGTATTTACCATAAGGCAAAAATTGGCCATTCTGATTGGACCGCGGCAAAAAACGGTAAATTTTGCCAATGAATAGATAGGCAACAAGCTCTCAATGATAGCTATTACTCAAAATTCATAACACCTGTGTGAGAAAAGGCATTGTGTATTATACAAGGTGTCCCCAAACTTATTGGCATAAATTTAGGAAAAGATTGAGCAAGTCAAAATAAGACGAAAACCCAAATAAATATGTTTCCTAATTACTTATGTTTCCAAGATACAGGGTGATAAAGTGTTACTTATCATATCAGTTTTTTAAATAAGACCTCTACTATGGTAGCCTTGAAAAGGTGATATTTTGCGAACAGTCACTTACTACCAAAACACATATTCACACATAATACGGTATTAAACGCGTTCTTAATGTCGATAAGGATTAGCGCGTGATACAGCTCTCTTTTTTGTTTTACTGTTTCCTGGATCTTTTGTATTGCGTGTATTGTTGACTTGCCTTTAACGAAGCCAAACTGTGTCGGGCTGAAGCCCTCTTTGTCTTCGATTTCCTGGATCAGTCTTGATTTTATGAGGTTTTCGAAGACTTTTGCAACCGCATTAATCAGGCAGATCGGTCTGTATTTTGTAGTTTCCATTTCTGTTTTTTTCGGTTTCTCTAGGAGGATTAGTTTGGCTCGCTTCCATTCTTTCGGGAAAGAAGCAGACCTTATTAATTCATTGAATAGTTCCATAAAGTATTCCATATTATTTTTGATTAGGTACTTTGTTGTCTCTGGTCGTATGCAGTCTGGTCCAGGGGCTTTCTTTGCTTTTAGTCTTTCGGTTGCAGCTATTACTTCCTCCTTGCTAAATATATCACAGTTTATATCACATTCTTTATCACATTTATTATCACAGTATTTGTTATCACATTTAGAATTATCACAGTTGTTACTATCCTCTTTGGGGAGCATAAACAGACTTTTGAAAGTTTCCAGCTTCTCCTCTGTAGTGAGCTTCGTTTTTGGATTAAGTTTTTTTAACTGGGTCTTTACTATTTTATAGGCCTGTCCGAAGATATCACCCTCTAGCTCGTCGCATAGTGTTCTCCATGAGAGTTTTTTTGAGGAGTTGATTGCCTTTTTTAGATCTTTTTTAGCTTCTTTGTATATAGACCTTGCCAGTTCCCGCTCTGCCGGTGTGTTGCGTCTTTGTAGGTCTCTCCTTTTTTTTTCGATGTCGAGATTTTTTTTTCAATTTCTTCCGACCACCAGTAAGGCATTTGATATTCTTCGGAACATCTTACCCTTGGCGTACTTTTTTTGTATGCAGCGCGGATCATCCGGCTGTATATGGTTATATCTGTCGTCCTTCCGTTTCGTATTAGTTCCTTCCTGAATTCTGAGTTCATTTTGTTCAGGTCTGTGCAGCCGTTTTTGAATTTGTTCGAGGTCCTCTCAGCGTCCGGTTGAATTTCCGTCAGGACGAAGTTATGGTCACTGCAGGTTTCTTCGTTCAAGACGCGCCATTTTGGGGTTTTTGTAACACCCCCTCACATACTATTGTAAGATCTATGTAGGAGGAGCCGTTCCATCTGACCAAAGTTGGAGAGCTTCCGTCGTTTAGGACAACTAGGCCCAGGGCTATAGTCCATTCTAACAGAGTGCTGCCCCTTTGGTCTGTTACGTCTCCTCCCCAGTATGTGTTTTTGGCGTTAAAATCGCCAGTGATCACGTACTTTTTGTCGGTGGTGTTATTTTTATTTAGCTCCATCTCTATGTCTGTTAAACATTTATTAAACTCATCATGCGAGCGGCTGGGGCTGATATATATGCTATATACTATATATTCTTTTGTTTCTATACTGACAAAAAATTCTCCTTGTTTATATTTTATTACTTGGTGTCTTTGGCTTATGTTAATTATTGCAGCTGAGACTCTCTTGTTATGGTATGTGTTGCCCTTGTTTAGGCATTTACTTTTATTTGGTTCAGATATTGCGATAAAATCGCACTTTTCACTTATTCCCCTTAGTGTCGCCATGTCGTGCGCAGTTACACTGTTATTTGTATTTATTTGTAGTATTTTCATTATTTGCTTTCGGGATTGACCTCTTCTTCCCGATTTCTGCTTTCTTCCTCGGTGGGAGCAGTTGGTTTGTTGATGATTTTTCTCTCTATTTTTATCTTTTCAACCTCCTTTCTATATATATGGCAGCTCATGCTTCCTGCTCTGTGCCCTTCCTTACCGCAGGTTCGGCACTTTGGGGTTTCAGTGCAGTCTTTTGCTACATGACCCTTTCTGCAGCATTTGAGGCATGTCCCGCTTAGGTCCTTTCTCGGGTTTATACATTTCTTAGTAATGTGCCCATAATCTAGGCAGTTGCCGCATTTGGGTGGTTCTATTAGGTCGTGTATTCTGCAGATAGCCCATTCAATTTTTATCTTTTTTTGCTTTACTAATTTCTCCGCGTCTTCCCTGCTGACCATGATGGTTGCCACCATGGTTCCTTTTCTATCCTGTTTTAAGGAAGTTATACTTACCCTACCTGTCCCTCCGGTGTTCCTTTTGACTGCGTTTTCGATCTGCTTTTTAGTGGTGGTGATTTCCAGGTCCCTTATTATTAAGGTTTTTTGTCTCACCCCATATGACTTTACCTTTGCCTGGCCTTCCAGGTTTTCCTCCATCTTCTTTGCGAAGGTCTCCGCCTTTCCTCTTTGTCTCTCCTTTATAACCAGTCTAATATTATTGCCGTTTCCGGTTTTCTGGACAGACTCCACTGTTATGCCCATTTCCTCCGGATTCATGGTGTTTTTTATTTTCCCCATGATGTCTGCATATGTTGTATTTTTTTCCGCTTGTACGTTAATTGTCTCCCTTCTGCCCCTTCCGGCTTCCTTATATTCATCAGAGCGGTCCCTTTGGTCCCTTTTATTTTGGCACCATGTCGTTTTGAGACTTCCGCCTGTTAGCATGCATTCCAGCCATTTTTTAACTGGCCTGTCCTCCCCGATATATGCTATGTTTATATGCTTTTGGCTCCTTTCCACGAGGCTGGAAACGAAGTTTTACATTCTCGCAAAGGCTTTCTCGTCTTCTTCTTCCTTGTTCATCCCCAGTATGTATGTGGAAGTCTCTATTTTGTTCTTTTTCTCCAACTCTCCGCCAACGTATAATCTGTTCGTCTCTACGATTCTTACCCAGTTTTCTTTAATTTTTCCCTTTTCCAGAATGTCGTCTATTCCTTTATGCTTATTCAGAATGTTTTTGAGGTGTTCTTTATTTTGTTCTGCATTTGGGTCTAGGATCCACGCCGTATCCTCTTTCATGATCTTTCTGAAGGGGTATCCTTCTTCTGTGCTTATGTTTTGGTATGTTTCCCCCTTCCATGTTTTATTTGCCACTTCTCTTACCTCTTGGTAGTTCATATCCTTTTTTAATTTTATTTCCTGGTAGCTAGTGTCTACCGGCCCTTCTGTTTGAGTGCTCTTGCTGTCCAGGTTGAGTTTTTTTTTGAGCTTTCTGATTTCGTTCAGGTAGCCCTCCTCTTTTTCCTTCTCCAGGATTTTGTCAACCTTATGCTCTTGTACTACGCAGCCTAGTATCGATTTGATTTCTTTGGCCATGTCCTTTATGTCTCTGTGGACGTTTTTATTCTCCGAAGCAAAATTTGACAATTCCTTCACTCTTTGTGCCAGTTCCGTGAGCTTTGGGCTTAGTCCCATCTCCTTTAACCGCTCTATTAGTGGCGGGCTCTTTTCGTCTACCTTCCTTTTTTTGTCAACTGTCTATCTACTTCGTTTCCTTCTTCTGTTTTTGTTTTTTCCACGCTGTTCTTGTTTTTTCCTTTTTTTGATGTTTTGGGTGTGCTTTCGATTGGGCTCTCCCTTGTTAGGGTGACATTCCATCCCGACGCCTTTCTTCCCGGACTCTTTTCTCTGAACGGGCTCGCCTTCCCCAGTTCCGTCAAGGAGACGCTTCTATTAATTGATCGGAATTTCTCCTTGAAACTCCTGGCCGCAGTTTTCGTTTCTTCATCGAAAGTTAGGTCCACAATGTTGGTTGTAGGCCTCATGCTCGCCTCCAACAATGGGTGCATTGGCAGCTTTATTTTGTTAGTGTTCTCCTTTTCGGTCTGTTTTCCTGCTGGGATTGTTATACTTACCGAGGTTGTCTTCTCGTCTACGCCTGTCTCGACCTTTCTGTCCGCGGTATTTCTGCCGAAGGACACCGACCCGCTTAGCGACGCACTTTTGGTCGGGTTATCTTGCGCCCCAGCCTGGTTACCTGCCAGGGGTGTTGAAAAACTAGAGGTACTGCCCTCCCCAGATCCGTAGGGTAGCCTGCTTGCGCAGAGAGGGATTCCCGACGTTGTCGGACCCTCCTGGGGATTATTTTTGTTACTCTCCATGTTTCATGTGTGGCTAGATGGTGACCTTCCATTGCCTTTTAGACCTACGGCCAGGTGGTATGTACGGCCGCCCCTCTGGGGTCAGACGCCGACCCAGAAGCCGCCCGTCTCGGGTCAGACGCTTTGGGATTTTCATGTGTGCGTGCGTTTTTTGGTCCGCGAGAGTTATTTCATTTGGCCCCTGCCACCCATATCTGGGAGGCGTTCCCCTATCCGCCACCCGGGGACGCGCCACGATGGAGGAAACGCACAAAACCCCGCACGGGACTTAAACCCAACCCAACCCAACCCAACTTAAGTAAAATTTTATTTTATGTTTTTTGTACGTCGCATAATCCACGACGTTAAACTTAGTTTTGAAAACCGCTTTATCCATTTGTTGCGGTGATTAAGAACAGTACAAGTTCACAAGTTAATATATTGACAAATTATTTTATAAAATCAGTTTTATAGTTCAAAATGCACTTTATTATTTTATAAAATATAATAACCATATTTTGTAAAATGATTTATATATTCTCACAAAAATGCATTTTAAACGTTTAAATGGATTTTAGAATTTGATTTATCAAAATAAAATTTTTTACAGATATAATTGTATATGCTAAAGGCGTTAGTATATTTGGATTTTTAGCCGAAACCGTAACTGGGTATTCAGCCAAAACCGTACCGTAATGTGCTTCCAACAGACACCAGGCCTAATCACAGGAGTACACACTACAAACATAAATAAACTGCCATTCCCTTGGTGGGATTCGAACCCACGACCTCTCGGCTTGTTGTCTGCAGTCAAATCAAATCAAATCAAATCAAATCAAATCAAATCAAATCAAATCAAATCAAATCAAATCAAATCAAATCAAATCAAATCAAATCAAATCAAATCAAATCAAATCAAATCAAATCAAATCAAATCAAATCAAATCAAATCAAATCAAATCAAATCAAATCAAATCAAATCAAATCAAATCAAATCAAATCAAATCAAATCAAATCAAATCAAATCAAATCAAATCAAATCAAATCAAATCAAATCAAATCAAATCAAATCAAATCAAATCAAATCAAATCAAATCAAATCAAATCAAATCAAATCAAATCAAATCAAATCAAATCAAATCAAATCAAATCAAATCAAATCAAATCAAATCAAATCAAATCAAATCAAATCAAATCAAATCAAATCAAATCAAATCAAATCAAATCAAATCAAATCAAATCAAATCAAATCAAATCAAATCAAATCAAATCAAATCAAATCAAATCAAATCAAATCAAATCAAATCAAATCAAATCAAATCAAATCAAATCAAATCAAATCAAATCAAATCAAATCAAATCAAATCAAATCAAATCAAATCAAATCAAATCAAATCAAATCAAATCAAATCAAATCAAATCAAATCAAATCAAATCAAATCAAATCAAATCAAATCAAATCAAATCAAATCAAATCAAATCAAATCAAATCAAATCAAATCAAATCAAATCAAATCAAATCAAATCAAATCAAATCAAATCAAATCAAATCAAATCAAATCAAATCAAATCAAATCAAATCAAATCAAATCAAATCAAATCAAATCAAATCAAATCAAATCAAATCAAATCAAATCAAATCAAATCAAATCAAATCAAATCAAATCAAATCAAATCAAATCAAATCAAATCAAATCAAATCAAATCAAATCAAATCAAATCAAATCAAATCAAATCAAATCAAATCAAATCAAATCAAATCAAATCAAATCAAATCAAATCAAATCAAATCAAATCAAATCAAATCAAATCAAATCAAATCAAATCAAATCAAATCAAATCAAATCAAATCAAATCAAATCAAATCAAATCAAATCAAATCAAATCAAATCAAATCAAATCAAATCAAATCAAATCAAATCAAATCAAATCAAATCAAATCAAATCAAATCAAATCAAATCAAATCAAATCAAATCAAATCAAATCAAATCAAATCAAATCAAATCAAATCAAATCAAATCAAATCAAATCAAATCAAATCAAATCAAATCAAATCAAATCAAATCAAATCAAATCAAATCAAATCAAATCAAATCAAATCAAATCAAATCAAATCAAATCATGTTGTTGGATTGTTTACAGTTTTGCCTTTCCCTTCACTGTACAATTATTATATGTTATGGTAGTTTGCCCATTCTTTTCTACCAAAGCACGATTTTGTGTATTATTGACCTGTAGTATGTGGGAACTCAAAGGTCCAGCTTCATTTGTTGTTCGGAGATTTTCGATTAACTTCTGGTGGTGACTAGAATCCAGCTGCAGGTATGGTTTTAGGGAGCTTATATTTGAGTAACCCGTTCATTTAATTAACTCCTGTTCAGCAACACCTTGCTTAAACAAGGCTGACACAGCTGAAGATCGATGCGAATGTTATGCGTTTGTTATTTTATGTTTTTTTGTGTCTATTCCAATTTTTTTAGCTGAAATCTTTGTCCACTTAGATACGATGTTGATTATAAGTGGACAGTTTTTGAACCAAGATCCATTCTTCCAGTTGGGGTGAACGGTAAGAAAAAGTCTGTCTGATAAAATATTTGGTCCTCTTTTTTCCATTAATTTCAAGAATAATCTAACTGGGCATAAATCTTCGTTTGATAAATTTCTTACCAACCAAATTATATTGTTTATAATTGGTATGTTTTATAGTTTTAGTGGCATTCTTCAGGAAAAAATATGCTATAAACCTGATTTTAAAAAGTAGTCCGCAGTTTTACACTACTACACCACCAATTAGATCAAATAAAAGACTTTATCTACTTCTATTGAATAATATTGTGAATAATGATAAACATTATTCATTCCCTGCCTAACAACGGAAATAATGAACTTATCATTCACGTTGTTATATACAAAATATACAAAAGTGCTCTTTTAGTTCCACCCTTACTTCTTAAGAAGTCCCATAAGCCAACTGAATGGCTTGTTCGGGTTAGGGGTAGGAACGGACCGCGGGCTTAAATTCCCCTCCGAAGGACTATTACACAATAGGACAAACACAAATAAACAGCCATACCTTTGGTGGGTTTCGAACCCACGACCTCCGTCTTGTAGTCAGCAGCACTAACCACTAGTCCACCGTCGGCGATATTATTACGTATTATACAGTGCTTGCAAATCCAAGTCTGACCGTGTTGAAAAGGATGATTGTTCAATACCCGCGTGAAAAGAATATATTCTTATAAGGATAGAATGCCAAACAGAATTTGATTGGTCAGAGCGTCAGGCGTGCGTATTGTAAGCGCCTTCTGTTTGGCGTTCTATCCTTGTTATTTTCACGCGTCCTTCCTAAACCGGTCGGACTTGGATTTGCAAGCACTGTATGTAGTGTTAGGCATCGGTGATTGGCTGATTTCAATATTTACTGTTATATGAACCAATCAGGTTTCAAATTGGAAGAAGGCGACTATAATAACATTTAAAATTGGTAAAAAGTAAGATTAACCGTTTGACAGATGTCAGATTTTATTTATATATATTTAAAAATTATTTAATTCTCTACTTATTGGAGTAGCAAACCTGCATTATTTTTCGTATAATAATATACTTTTAAGTTATTAGAGAAATTTTTAAGTTTGCTATAAAGCAATTATATATAGCAATACGCAATACTTTATAGTAATTATCATTAAAATGTCTTATATTATAAGCCAAGAAAAGAAGATTTTAGGCATATTTAATGAGTAAATTACTTCGACAATCTGCGTAAATTAAATTACCAAAAAAAATACAAAATTTTTATTGTTTTTCGATCCATATTTTTTATCGAATATAGCTGCTGACCTACATTTTCGACCAATGTTTGGCTACCAAAACTACGGCCGAAACAACATGCTCTATAGTTCTATTCGCAGAAATGTACTCCTTTGACAAAATTTCGCAGTACATTTTGCAGTAAGGGCTGCTGGATTTCACGAATTTGGCGTGCAATTTATTTTTAAGTTCCTTAGTTGTCTCAGGGTGTTCACATAAACCTAACGTTTAAAAACTCCAGAGAAAATAATCCAAACAAGTTAAATTGCAACTTCCTGGCGCGCCATAAGGGCCAGTTTTGGTCTAAAAAACGAGGAATGACACGACCTGGAAACTTTATTTGCAACAACGTCATTGTTTCGAAAGAGGTGTGACAGGTGAAAATGTCAATGTTTTAATTAATCAAATACCAAACATGGCTGACTCAACAATTAACGCGATTAAAAATTTATTAATTTGAGAATATAAATTAAAATTGAGATCATATTATTACACAGTACGACAAAATTTGATTTTTTTCCCCCCTGTGAAAAATTTCTATAGATTATGAAAATAGACTTAAAAAATTAATACCCGTGTCTCGGAGTTTTTTCAGATCACGTCATTTTTTTTTAAATGCGATCCAATAAAATGTTATCCACGGTATTCGGCACATAATATAACAGCTATAACAGTATATTTTTATGAAAAATGTATTCACTGAATAAATGGACAACCATTAAAATTATTTATTTATTTTAAAATTATTTTAATTATATACAGGGTGTTGCACATTTAGGAAATTCGGGTGTTTCATGTTCGTGGTTCATTGATTGTACCTGAGGAACGGCAAAAGATATCGATTTGAAATTTTTAATGCGTTTATAATCCAATTAAGCCTATTTTTCTAAAATATCTTAAACAAAATGCCACTTCCGGTTTGATCGGAAGTGACATCAACTTTGTTATACCCCATATATTTTTACATTTATAATTCTACATAAAATTTTGAGTAAAATTACCATGTCCTATACCTAAAGTGAATAGTTTTCTAGTTATTAATTTTTTCCGTTAAAATATGACAAATGCGCGTCAATCAAAAATAGCCTATAACTTTCTTGCTATTAGGTTTGCGGAAATGGGGGTGGAATTTATGGAATCTTAAAACATTGATTTCATGTATGTAGATTCCTTAACATACCGGGTGTTAGATTTAAAATAAAAAAGTTATTAACGTTTCAAGTTCGCCCAATTTGCCTTGGATTTTCTCGGGTAATTTGTTAAAAAATGTTAAAGAATTGACATGGAATTTTTTAAAAAATGTTTTAAAATTCCAAACATTTAACCCCCATATCCGTAAACCTAATAGCAAACATCTAGAAAACTATTCACTATAGTACATGGTATAGTAATTTTACTCAGAATTTATGTAGAATTTAAAAATGTTAATATTATATGGGGTGTTCTATTTAAAATAACAAAGTTGACTTC